CAAGTAATCCATTTGGAAAAGTTCAGAGAATTGATTAAATTAGGGAAGACTGATTATTAACATTAATCAGTTAATTTTTGAGAAAGAAGAACTATAAATAGGACTATTTTAGATATGAAATATTTTGTTTTTATTATATTATTAAATAAAAAACTCACTCTAAGCTTATAACAAACCCTAACTAATTCCCAAGCCCACTGTCTGCGATTGTTACTTTGGTAACACTTGGAGATTTCACGACATTGAAGGGGATTTGCTCTCTCGAAGGGTCTCCACATTGAATGTTTGTACAAACAAAAGCAAAAAAGTGGAAATAAAATGTGCCACATGCAGCACTTGTCACAAGCCCGAGAGCCGAGCACAAGTATTTACAATCAATAAACGTGAAAACGAAAATGAAATCGAACTTTGAGTGGCCACTGGAAAAGTTATGCACTCGTCAGATACATTTTGAAACGAATCCAATCGAAACCGAAAGTGGGCGTTGCTAATTAGTATTTGTCCGTTTGACCTTCTGTATTTTTGGGGAGCGAAACGAAATGAGATTTATTGTCGCCTATTGGAAATATTCAATAAATTATGCGGCTCTTTATAAAAGCAAAAATGTATTTGTATTTTGGGCTTTGCCACGGTTTCGCCTTATTTATAGTTCGTTACGGTTTTTTAATAGGTATTTAAATTGATTCGATTAGAGACAGAGGAAAAAGGGGGATAGGGAAATTGACTATGATTTGCATTTCAAAGGGAAGTTTGCCAAAGCGAAAGCCACTGCAATTATTGATTTCAACAGGGAAAAATTTTATATAAATTCTACCTTAAAATTTATAAAACATCCTTGGAGAAATCTGATAATTTTTAACTCATTTCTGTCCAAATTGATTGAGATTTCAACATTGATTTAGTTGAATTGCCATCCTGATTCACTTTTCCCTTTTTTCCTGACAGCGAAGTATCTCGAGTGCATCGAAAATTCCCGGCATGCTTCTTGTTTGTAGTACAGTTGTGTACACATTGAGTGAGTCAAGTTCAGTAAAAAAAAGGGAACAAATCGAATCGAATTGATACAACTACAAAAAATTGAGGAAAGAAAAAAACTTGTTCGAGCCATTGAAAAAGCAGAGAAGGCAGTGTGCAAAGTGCAATGACAACGAGAACATAAAAAGTATCAAGTGCTCTGTCCAAACGTTGAACTTCTGCCACGCCCACCACTCGAACGCCTGCCGAATAGTGCAACAAGGGGTTATAATAGAGAGGGACAGATGCAACCAGAGAGAAAGAGACAGCAGCCACAGACCGAATGCCATTAAAGTGATCTATGAGCTCGCTGAAGTTGCCAATATTGAGAGCGTAAATAAAGACTGTTGGCCAGGCCAGCACAATATAAATTATGTGCTCAAGCTTAATAATAAATACAAGTGCGTGACAAAAGAATTCAACAGTTGAAGGTTCTAGGTTGGAGTAATAAATATATTAAGTAAGCATTTGAAGTTACCGAAATATCTGAGGATAAAATATATGTCCTTTTCTTAATCGTTTTAAAGACATCTTAGAAATACCTTGAATTATAAATTAAATTTATTAAATATTTTTATTTCATCATATTTATATTCTTTTACCTGTAGCTACATTTAACTTTGCCCCATAATTGTTTTGTCATTGCACAAAATTTCATTTACACCACACTGATCTTGGCTGACATTTAAAAATTACCGCTATCACTTCCAATTTTATTCGACAAACATTCACAATTAGCTGAGAGCTCATTTGCATTCACTCCCCCTCAGAAAAGCACTTCCCTCGCTCTTATCAACATCGATTATAAAATTGTCACGCTTCTGAAGCCGCACAAAAATAATAATGAAAGAAAATATTAAACACACAGGAAGGGGAGCTCGCTCCCCCATTGGCGACGCCTTCAAAAATGATGCCATAAATTCACAAAATTATGACATGAAAAAATACAAAAAAAAACTCAGCAAAACACAAAAAAAAAGCGAAGGAAAGAAGTCATTATCAATTACGCCACTTAATTATTTTTATTGGAGCATAAAATGCTCCATTTCTCGGTAATGCGACACGCACACAGTCAGTGGGCTTTGCTCGCTGTCTCTCTCTCCCCACTTTTTTCCTTCTCTTTCTCTCGCCCCTTTCTCCAATTCTCTGCTTTTGTCGCACATGTGTCAATGGAGTGCTAATTGTCGCGTGCCCACATCTCACTGGGAGAAAGGGAGAAGTGTACGGGGCCACTTCCTTGTCCGGGATTTGAATCCTGTTCTGGTTTCTCTAGAGAAACTGGGAGAAAAGGAGGAGGAAACGAGGGGTACTCACTTGGCTGCCTCTAATCGCTGTGCCACTTTTGCATAAATCACTTTGTGTGAAGGGAATAATTGAATGTGATACGAGTATTTCTTGTTCGGGGCTTGGCACCGAGTTTAAAAAAAATAAATTGTAGGCGTACCCCTGCACGCACTTTCTAACCAAATTTTGTATATTTTTTTAATAGCATTATTCAACAGCGGTTGACACCAATGACTCCTAAATTGAAGGAATAATTTACTCAACAGAAAACACTAGGAAACCGCCTTGGAGTGGCTCAATTCAAAGCGATTAAGACAAAGCGTTAAAAAATATTTAAAAAAAAAAGAAACGCAGCCACAACAACTATAAAATTAAATAAGCAATTGACACAAATTGAGTAAACATATATTTTAAAATTTATGCAGTGACTCATAGCAAGAAAATGTTAACAATTATAGGCTTGTAAAAGATTAAAGTTCAATAAAACTCAGACAGTTTCTTAACTACAAAAACCTTATAAAAAAAAATTCAAATATAAAAAATAAAATATATAAAAATAACTTGAGTTTTTAAACTTGTTCTACCTTGATTTATATTTCTTAACCATGATTCATTCCCTCGAAAAACGTTTAAAAACCCCTTCGAACTAAAACTCAATCTAAACTCAAATAAATCAAGTTAACTAAAATCTGCAGTGCAATTAGCCAATTCCAACTATTTCTCTACATTCGGTTGTTGGCCAATTGTCTGGGATTTTTTTTAGCCAGCTGCTACGCGATTGTCTGAGCAATTAAAAAGCATTTAGCTGGCCAGAAAAACGAAGGAAAAACCGAGGTACAATTGGAGGAGACATGTGTTGCTGGCGTTTATAGCGTATTAATTGACTTTTTGTTGATTGAAAACTATTTCATGATTGCGCACTGTGGCAATCTTTTCTCTGCACTAATTTAATTAAGGCAGACGACCACCCACGGCAAAATTGATATTTTTTTTGCTTGGCGCCGCTGCAATTTTCACGGAAAGACAGCAGATTAAATGCAACAATTTGTTGTCTTGTCGGCGAAATTGTTTGCGGGAAAGTTGCAATGGGACAAACATGCTATATAAAAAATATATTAAACTACAGTTCAGCGCAATAAAATATACATTTAATATTTTAAATTGTTGAAGAAATTTTGAGATACGTTTCTTCGAACTTTTCTTTATGTTTTGGCTAAAAATATTAATTTTTAACTGGAACAATTAATTCTCATTAAAATAGAAATTTCTTAGAATTAATTTGAATAATATAATACTCTTAAAAAACTTTTAGTAAATATAGAAAAATTATAAGCTTAATTTAAAATTAATTTAAATTTAATATAAAATCTATTATTTTGCTCACTCCTGTATGTTGCTGTAGTTACCTCCTCAAAAGTCTTTTTGCTGATTTAATATTATACTTTACATTAACTTTAACTTGCCTGGGGGAATGCCATTTCACTTGTCATAAGACCGAAATCCATGCATCATCATCATGATCATCGCGGCAACAATGTTGCTGTCCAGCGACGGCAACATGTTGCTACCCAGACTGGATTTCGTTAGTTGAAGATTTCTTACCTCGAGAGCTGGTAGTTCGATGATTGATGGCTCGTTATCCATTGGAGGCCGACACTTGAATACTAAACGCCCGAGTGACTCAACAAGTTGCAGGTTGCTGCACCACACGCACCAGCAGAAGAAGAAAGAGTTGGCTTTGATGGGAGGAGACACACCCACGCGGGATTTGTGGTTCGTTTTCTGCAATGTTTGCAAATGAGCTGATTATGATTATGACTATATATTGGCAAAGAATAAAGAAATATATGAAGAGAGAGAAAAAACTTGTAGTGGCAGCAAAGTTTGCCTTCAAGTTTCGAAGTACAAAAGATTATCCGAACAAATGGTGCAAGATTTGAGCTGAAATGCAAATAAATGTTATGTGAATGCATTTTCCAGGGAATTTTGATTGTCAATTAGAAAGAATTCACTAAGTAAACGAAGGGAGCGGCTTAAGGGATTGTTTTTTTAGAAGATTTGGAAATGAAAACAAAATGATTAATGTAGTATTTTGGGGGAATATGTTTATATTTCTCAGATTATTTATATAAGAGTTTATTATTTTATGTATTAGCTTCAAAAGTTCATGTTTTTAAGCTTCTAAAAACTGTTTGAAAAGTAATATACCATTTAATGTTGCCTTTATAATGCTCTTTTTAATTAATCATTCTTGAAACTTTTAAATTTCAAAACCTTCTGCTCTGACTTTTCTTGTAATTTATGCAACCCTCATCCTGTTCTCCATTAAATTCAAATCCCTTTTAATGATCACTAAAATATCCCTTAGCTCTAGTAGAGTTTTCCCAGTATTTTCCGCTTCCGCTTCTACTATTAAGGAGAAATACTCAAACACCCATCTCTCAGAGCTAGTTTTGTCTGCTGGCCTAACTACTGGCAGTAACTATTTTTATACCCTCCTATAAAAGAGCGAAAACTTCGCTTCAGTCTGAAAGTCGGAATGCCTGAATGGTTGCCTCACATTAGCAAGTGGCAGAAATGTTACAGAACTCTCCTCCGACTTAGACAATTGCAACTTTGTCTCGATCCGCCCACGGAGGAAACCTCTGAGTACAAAACTTGAGTTCAACTGCAATAATTCTCCCTCCTCTTTTTCGTTGCAGGTAAGTGCTGCAAAGACATTAGAAGACAGCGATGGCCATGTAAGTACCGCCGCCAACATGAAACCCACCCACATGGCATCAAGATTTTGCTGGGAGCACAACAGCTATGCTTAGATAAATACTTAATAATTTAAGGAAATTTACTTAAAACTTAAACGAGCTCTAATCTTTCTCTAACATAAAACTGAACAACTACAGCCAAGCTTAAGTATGATGGTCTTAAGCTATGTACTTCCATAGCAATTAATATTTATTTATATATTTTCTAACAATTAATCAAGCTTAACAATTGGTTTTTAAGTATACCTTGCTCCCAGTTTACCCTCTTGAAACTACTATTATTTTGTTTAGTTTAGTAAACAGCACTTAGTTGTCTAGTGTCTGTCGCTCTGTCTATATGTGTCATGTAAAATATAGACAACTAAAGTCAACTTGAAACTACAACGAAATCACACGCTATAGAGAAACCACTCCTGACAATTGCCGGCACTTCCGTTGCATTGAACTTGCCATATACGCCCCCATCATCATCGTTGTGATCATAAATGCACACACAAATATATACTATATACCCGAAGTAGTGAGTGCATCTGTTGTGCCCCCGGGTGGATGACCTGCAAACGACTGCGATTCCGATTCCGAAACCCAACTCGAACAATTACAATAGGCGTCTTGCTTAACGATCGTGACCAATTTGTTGGTCAACCATCAACAGCGGCGATCGGGGAACAACGAGATCTCCTCCGCCTGCATCTGCAATCGTTTTGCAAATATTTACACACTGAAAAAGAGTGGGGAGAATGGATGCCCCTTCTGCCTCATCTATTTATTGTGTGGAGCCCCCGACCGGCTGTCATCGCTAGTGTCGCACCCACAGAGACCGAGAGACCTGTCCATCAATTCGATATGCGATTTGCTATAAGCACTATATGGGCCTATATGCGCCTTGCCGATGCACAGTCTGCGGCTGTGCATTGAATATTCAATTTAAAAGCGGCGTCGACTGCAGCCGACTGCCAGGCAAAATCATCAGAAAATGGTATGGGGAAAACTATATAGAAGATTTGAATGCCCTAGGTGGAGGTAGAATGAGGGTTTCGAGAATTTTAGTTGGATTTTTCACAAGCTACACTTGGTACTCTCACCAGATAACATTGTAAAGTTCATTCTAAAAAATTCTAAAATTATTTAAAATTAATTGTAGAGATTTGGAGAGGTCTTTGAACTGGTATAAAGTAAGGCAATAGACCCTATTTGCTGTAACCCTCACCTATATGGTAAAAGCTATAAAAATATATTTCTTATAAATTATACAACAGGATGTATTAAATATTAAATTATCAATAACTCCTAATAGTTCTCCCCCAATAGATTTCTGAAGTAAAAATCCCATAAACACCACACACACAATCAATTACTTGATGTTCCAATCAAAATCACTGAAAAAAACCCACGTGCCAGCAGCTCCGTGTAGGGTATAGATGGATCCCCAGCCGATTCATTACCATATATAGCTCTTGGCGCTGGAAAAGTGGAAAGGAAAACGTGACTTGTCTGGCTCCCGTCTGCCGGCAGTCTAGTGGTCTGAAATTCGTTGCAAACTCGGTTTAATTGAAACGTTGGCCCGCGAACTTGACGCTGATTTGACTGGCGAATGTCGTTGGGCTCATACCCATATCCATATCCGTATCCTACGATTACTAACATTACTTACCCTGTGACCTACATCTATTTTGGACTGGGATAATGGCCAGAGGGACTGGGGAAAAAAGGGTCCGTCGAAAGACAAGCCCCAGCCATGTAGCGCGAAAATTTATGACTTTCATTTGTGTTTTTCTCGCACAAATCACGAATGCGCCACAACGACACCCGCAGCAAATAAAATAAATTGAAATGTGGGTCAATGTTTGCGTTGTTGTTCACCCAGAAGGGAGTGACCCAAATGACCCGTCAACAGACCGCACCGAAGCCTAAATAGATGCCTAGAATGGCCATTTATTTAGCACGGGAAAACCAAAGCCCTCCAAAAACAATCGGCTTTTATTGGTTATGTCTGTATGCAAATGTGCGCGACAAAAAAGAAATATATGTAAATATCAGCGAATATATATTTAAAACCAATATTTAACTGTGTTCCCGAATATCCAAACATCAGATGGACAATTGCCAAATTCAATTTCCTATCCGCAAAAACCATGCAAGCTAACGCCTTCCAATTGTTCGCATTTTTGGCCGAGTTGGCGATTTGGATTCTATATAAATTTTGTGCTGTCGTTTGCCATTTTAATTTAATGCAAACATTTGTGCAACAAAGATTAATTATTAAGTGTATATGTGAATGTATGTGCAGATTTTATTGCTGCCAGCATTGAGTTTTAATTGCTTTGTTTTATTTTCGTGTATGTTTGTTATTGTTCTCAGCTGAGGTGAGCAGCTGTTGTTAGGGCCTGAAACTGTATGTTTTGTTTATAAATATGTAAAGCTTTAAATGGCCTTTTGCTTGCTCTTTTTTGAATGCTCTTAAACTCCATTAATAGTGTTTACACAGGAAATATTATTGTAGTGATCTTTTAATAATTAAGAATAATAAGAAAGAGATTTAAAGTGCATTTTATATATAAATCTGTATATTCTTTATTGTAAATAAAGAGTCTCCTTTGTTAATTAAAATCTATATATAAACAGCCTCCATCAGATTGATTGTATCATCTTCACTTTACTAATTAGATTTGTATTTCCACAATTCTACCTGCTTGGGATTTTCACCCCTGCCCCAGGATTTTCCACACGCCCTCTACAAACACGACCGCAGTTCATTAGCCTCCATTAGAGCAGGAAAAGCGGCAACTACAATGAGGAAAACGGGGGAAAAAGTAAGAGTGGGGGCGCTGCATCGGCAGAGGTGCCAAAGAGGGGGAATGGAAATTGCATTCACCGAGGAGCAGATAATTGTAAGACTGCGGCACCATTCAATTACCAGCTCCAAACATCTCTGAATAGAAGGAAAATCTCTGAAAAAAAAAGGGTAACGACTCAAAGAAGATTTCCCCTGAGCAAACCTCAGCCGGAGTTCAAAGTGCCTGGCGCTGGGAAAAAAGAGATACGGGAAAAGTGTGGTTAGATTAACAGACATTGCACTTGTTCACAGGGTTTAATGCCCGATAAACAGGGGATCCATCTTCCCCCTAAAACATATTTACATGTACATATAACCCCTTGAGAAAAAATATATCCCACCAACTGATAAGAAGCTGCAGCAGAAGCTTGAAGCTTGGGAAATGTTGACAATCATTAGGGGATAAAGTATGAAAACCGAGTTGGTAATTTCAAGCTGTCAGTATGCTTTCCTTTATCGGGCATCAATTGAAAGTTTTTCCTTGTTAATGAAATTACTTAAGCGAGAAAAATCCAAAAAACCCACGAAAGAGATAACAACAGCAAGTCAAGAGGTCTCAAAAAAACTTAAAGTTCACGAAATGAACGGCCATAAAGCCAATGAACCCTAAATATAAAATCAAAGTCAATCGATTTTGACTTACGAAATTCTTGGCAAAACTTTTACAGCAAAACCGCTTTCAAAATTTTAATGCTGCTCCCTCAATCGTGAATTTTAAGCCCTTTAACATCGGCGGCATCATCATTTATTCAGGAGGAGGAGCTCCCCTGTGTTGGTCGAGAGCCTGTCATGGCCCGATAAAATTATGAGAAAGTAAGAAATTAAATAAAGCACGAACGAAATCAATAAATTGCAGCGTCTGAAAGGCGCCAAAAAACCCACAGGAAACTGCCATAAACTGGCATTAAATATACATGCCAAACACTTACGGGTAAAAGTATATGTACGAGTCCGATATGTGAGTGATATTTACATCATTTAAGCGGAGAGCAGCTCAAAAAGTGAAAAACGAGGCGAACAAAATTCCCTTTTGAAAGAGAAAGGTGGCGAGCAGAGGATTCTGGCATGTGAGAACATCGTTTTCCAGGAATTACACAAAATGAAAAATGAAATAATATGTGCGGGGGGAATCTTTGAAATGAAACAAACATATTTCGCATGAACTTTCAGTAGAGGGAAAGATGTAATTAATAATAAAGAGATGTTAAATGGTTTGATGAAATTCTGGGAAATATTTCAAGTAGAAAGCTCAAAGCGATATGTGAGCTAAAGAACTTGATTTCGAATTTAAAGCCCTGGCTTATCTACATGTACTATGTTTTATTTCTGATTTTGGTATCCATTTTATACTATTAAATATCATAAAGTAACTTTATGAAATTCTATGGCATAATTCCACAAAGAACTTCTACTTAATTTCATTCACAGTATTCCATTCATTTTGATTCCTCAGTTGTAAATACAAACAAACCATTGAGAATGCTTGCTTTGAGCTCTCCGCTTCTCTGAAATTCTTTTCACATCTGGGCTCGCTCTGGAACTTGCTCTGAATACTATATTTATATTTTTTTCTGTTCACCAACGAATTTATTTATTTTCAATCAATGGTGCAGCTTCTGCAATTGTGCAGGCATCTCCTTACATGGCGGGGGGGCGGGAAGCCTGGTGCAAGCCAACGTATCAAAAGCGAAGCAAGTTTTGTCGTCTCGCCTTGCCACTTTTCAAGGGGGTGCCATTTCCAGGGGGAGGTGGCCTGGAGGGAGGTTGCTTGGCGAGGAGCGCGTGCCGCTTGGAATATTTATGAGCTGCGTCCAACGCTGGGACAAGGCGTCTTTGGCCATCAACTGACGGAAATCAATGTTGACCCACTTGGGGTTCAGGAAAGAAACAGTGGAAAAAGTAAGACGGACTTGGTAATGGGATCGGGAAACTGAAGGCGGCACTCCGCCGCACTCCTCACCCCCTCCGGCGAAAGTCAAGTGAAGAAATTAATTTCCCAGCAAGTCATTAATATTAAGTTTTTCGCAGGCAAACCCAAAAAAGGTCATAATGAGACTGGGACTCGCAATTTAAATTGGACACAACTGTCGCACCTTCAATGGTTTTCTCTCTTTTTTTTTTTTTGTTGCTATTTCCACTGAAA